GCTGTCGGGAGCCTTGAACGTGATGGTGTCTGACCGCTTGGGCTTGGGCGGGTCTGGATTGGCCGGGTCAACAACCTCATACTTGACGTCACCGCCGACGTAGGTCAGCGGAGGATGCTGGAGGGTGTCCCAGAGGGAGTCGACGAGGTGGTGGGTGAGCAGCTTCCGGATCTTGGACTTGGAAGACAGGGCAGTCAGAAGGGCGATGAGAATCTCCGTGCCGCCCGTCTTGTCGTCAATTGGCTTGGTGGTGACGGCCTGGATGACCTTGACAATCTCGGGCAGCGACACCTCCCTGCCGACGCTGGTGAGCTCTCTGAGCAGCCCGGCGGCAAGTTCCGTGGGCTTGTCGAGGGAGTAACCCTCTCCCTCGTCCGACTCGTCATCCGAATACGAGTCCCCGGGGATGTACTTTTCCTCAAACTTGTCCGTCATGATGAGTGGATAGGACAATCTGGGGGAAAGAAAGAGGATCGGCGTCATCCCCGCCGTCTACATATTTATACTGCCTGGCTGTCTCAGAGATGCGCGATATGCGCGCTCGCCGGCGAAAACATCCTGTTCGTCCCATTGGCCACAGGAAGGCTGACCGCCGCGATACTGCATGATCTCTGGTAACTCGCCATTCGCTGAGACATCATCAGCCCTCGATGGTGGAGGAGGAGGAGAGAGACATGCTTGCGCAACCCCACCTCTGTGCAACCACACCTGGTTGGCACATTCCCCCCACTGTGACCAATTCAGTCACCTACATACATGTATGGGGAGGGCTTTTGAGGCGGTGCAGTGTCGGTCAGATAATTATGGTGATATTCCAATATCCATCGTTGGTTCCGAGTATCTCACTCCTCACTTTTCCCGTGGCCTAGACCCTGACGAAAAAACTTGAATCGACGTGTAATTCTGCGCTGTCCAATCTGTGGCTGGCTGGACCCTCCTTCAGCTGAAGCAGTGTCATGAGATTCTAACCGAAAGTGTCTCATTGCAGCGGAAATAAGCCAATGAACGCATCTCCACGGCGTGTGAGTGCATATAGCCTAGCCAGTGTAGGATACAATATTCCGTGTTGGTGACGGCATACGAAAAAGAAAAAAGAAAAATTGAAGACCGATATCTTTTGCAAGTGATTTTGGTTTTGGAGATGGAATTGCTCATATTTTGAAGCGCTATTTGTATCAATGGCTTTAGCTGGCGATGCGGGCCTTTTCTGCCTTAGTCTAATCCTTCCCGTTGAAAATCCTCCGTGCCCTAAACTCTGTTAGGTGCCGCTCGTCTTTCTTGAGCGGCATATCATTCTCGTCAAACTCGACCCGGCCGTAGTCGGAAACCTCCCAGGCGTTCTGCTCAGTGCCATCGGCGGCTGTCATCATGGTAGGACCAACATATGCGTTGCGCGCATACGAAGCCTTGTCCATGTTGTTCTTCTTGTCATTCCGGCCTTTCAAATTCCAGGTGCCAATGTCCAACCTGTGCATTCTTTCAACGGACCAGCTCGCGTGGTATGCATGGAAGGCTTGGTCCAGCTTGGGCTTACCGTGCCCAAGAAATTGGACAGCTGCTGATGAAGTTCGTGTTCATCGGCCGGGGCGGCGGTGGTGGTGGTGGTGGTGAGAGATGGGGTTTCACCGAGCTTCTGCAATACCGAAGGTAGGGATAGACAGTACTTGATGCAGCGGATCGAGAGTCGAAGCCGTTGGTGGATGGGATGCACCTTGGTGAGCTGCTTCAAGATTGACACTGTTCAATGTAGGTCAGCATCGGAACCTCACTGCAGGTGGTGTGCACTGACCTTGAGCTTGCAGAATGCCCATGAGAGGACCAACGGACTCGGAGAGGGCACCTTGGACCAGTGCCTCATCATCAGGATGCAACACTTTCTCCATATGGTCTGCCTGCATGATAACGTCGTATTGTTTCTTCATGGCGCTGAGCGATTCGGTTGCCTCGGCAATGTTGCAGGTCCAGTGATAGAAGAGTCCCATCGTCCTCATGGCGCCCACAACCTCACGAATAAGTCGCCTGGGGAGCTCAGGCTGCTGGAAGTGATGTTAGGCGTCGGGAATTTCCAAAAATTGAAGACGAAGATCAGAGTCCCTCTCGCATTCGCCCGCGAGAGTGTACAAACTCGGCTTGTCGTCAGTGCTACGCCCCGAAAGCATTTCCTTAACCATGTCTTTGACATCGGACAGGAACGTGCGCTCTGGTCCGTAATACTTGCGTTTTAGTAGGTTGCCAATCTCTCTATTGCCATCTTTCAGGTCCTTTGCATTGGAAGCAAAAACTGTCTGGCAAACAATTCTGTTTTTCGGCTGGGCTACAAACAGAACCGAAGGGATGATCCACTGCTCCAGTCCTGGTAGAAGGCCGATAGTGTCGATGGCCTCTTCGATGCGATATGCGTCACCTATGGCTGCAGCGAGATGCTGGAGGCAGCTGCTTCTCTCCCATGACGCCAGACTTTCCCAGCCAGACTCCAGCATGCGGACAACAGTTAGCCAATATCGCAACTCCCTAAACTCATCGTAAATCATGCAAGTCAAGACGGGCAAGTCTGGTGTGCCAACAATTCCCAACTGGCCGAATCCGCAATCGAAAATGATGTTAGCCTTGACCGCGATGACTTCGAGTCGTGAGGCAAAGACGACAGTGCGGTTCCAGAGGAGATGTACCGGGAGTGGTAGGATTTGCTCAGTGGGTATGGGTCTTTCTCTTTTGGTGGAATCCGACGTCTCGGGTTCAAGTTCCATATTTAGTACGTGACCTCAAAAGTACTAATGAGTGGTGAATTCCAAAAGTATGTTTTAGATGTGCGGGAATCGTTGAACATGGAAAGAGGGAAGAGAGCTCAATATAATTATTCCTCAAAAGCGCCTGAGCCTGCGTCTGCAGCTTCAGGTGATCTTCATCTGAAGGGCAGCCCCAACGCAAAAAATCATGATCACTTGTGGATCACCTCTCCCGCTCAACGCAGGCCACCTGGCGGACCTGTTATCTTGCAACTTGGGGCTCAACATGGAATTTTCTCTCCCATCCCATAAAGTCGTGCAGCACATGACGACAGGTGAGCTCATAATGGTTCTCGTGAAGCAATCAGAAGCTCTCATCAAAGGATCAGACACAACGCCATTGTTTTGGGAAAGCATCCTTCTTGTTGAACCGAGTTGTGTGATTTGGGAGAACGTGAAGGGATTTGCAGGAACTCAACACCGGGTCTTTGCATTTATCTACTGCCCCCACTTGAAGTTTCATGACGCTGTGACAAGCCAAAACTCATCTCAACTGAAGATGGAAGGAGTGGGTGATCCACTTTCTGGTCAAAAAACGGTGCAATCCTCTGTAGAATCAGCCAACTTTCGTTGCCAGCTCTCGCCCCCATCTTGAAGCCAAGTAAACCGATCCTGCCATGTCCCATGTTCATTCCTGGCGCGACAGATGCGGCTGCCCTGTCGTAGTGAGCATGGTGCCGCTGGAGGTCATCAAATATTGTGATTCTTTCCCAAATGGGCGTGGCTGCAGCGGCCAAAAGGTCGTGGGCAAAAGCTAGACTGGTGAGACGTCCTGTATTCAAAGAAAGAAACGTTGAGGGGCGTTGTGTGTGGAGGCAGTCAAGAGCACGCAAGAATCAAACAAAATTATCAGAAATGTCATGTTAGTACCGCAAGAGCAAATGGTTAACAGATGGCACATTTGCGTCAAAGATCTGTTGCACCAAAATATGAGCCCGTGGATACAAGGAAATGCGAGATTGCAATTCTCTGTGATTAATGGAGGGTGTTTATATTGCTAGCATGTACAGTTATGCAGAGGATGCGTTGGGGCATTGCGGTGCAAGGTAAGTTGACTAGATGGATAACTGAACAACAAAACCGTTCAAAGACCGCTCATGTAAACACCAAATCCTCCGCGTCCAGCTGTTTGTCTCGTAATGCCTCCCCATCCATGTAACCCTGCACATATGAAATACCCAGAAAGCGGTAGTGATTCTCTGGCCCAGGCACACGGCGAATAACCATAGGAAATCTATACCCGTGGACAACGCACACAATATCACCAGCCCTCGCACCCACCGGGACCCAGCAGAGCAGAGATCTGTTCCTGCGGGACGGTGCCGCATTCGTGACACCGAATCTCAGCCGGTCCGTCAGTCCGAAGAGGCGAGGGTTCTCTGACGCTATTTGCTCAAACTCGTACACCGGCGGGTGTGAATTGCGATGAAAGGGCAAGAAGTTCAAGGGGTGGTGATACGATGGATCGAGGCCGAACACGAATGCTCTTCGAAAGAGGTCGGAGATTCTTTGGATGTCGTTGCTGTCGCGACGCTCCTTGATAGTGTGGTCTCTGCGAGCGTTTTGCACGCTCGCCAATAATCCCTGACCTCGCCAAGATCTAACGCTCTTTGGGCTCCAAAGAACTCCTGTGATTCATGAGACTTCTTGACCCTTTCTTCCATGTCGTCCTCTTTTGGAAAGGGGCCTAGAATTTTGCTCATTGTCCCAAGCCGAGTGACCCGGAATGATATCAATGAACTACCAGGGATGCATCGGATATTGTTACAATACTGGCTGGTGTTCATCCCGCCGGCATCCCAAAGACTATGGTGGATAATCTGATGGGGTTTGCAGAAGCTGACGTCGACAGCCCCATCCAGGATGGCGTGGTATCTTTAGTAATTGATGTGCAGTAACTGAGGCATTCTAGATAACCCACCGTGCGTAGTCAGACACTCTGTAAACACAGATAGGACCAGGGAGTCGAACGTTGCGTCCGAAGAGTAGTCTGGCCTCAAGGTGCTTGACTGACACTGTGTGGAGAACTCGAGCAAGCCAAGCATGGCATAGAATCCAAAGTCTTGACCCACTGCTCTTGTTGACTTGCCCCTTTTCAGGAGTGGAGCCAATGGAGAATCGACAAAAGCGGGAAACCTTGTTGGTGCTGCGCCCCCCATCACTCCGCCTTCATGAGCCCCGCAGATGGTCTGAATCATCATCAAATAACCCACAGGCCGTGTGGTGTAGTGGTAGCATACTTGCTTTGGGATGTCTATCTAAAGACTTGCAAGTGGTCCCAGGTTCGAGCCCTGGCTCGGCCCTTTAGTTTTGACCTTTTCTCATCCTAATTCATCGCGATGCATCGCGAAATTCGGGGGAATTGTTGCGCATCTTGCCGTTTGAGCACAACTTTTCTTTTTTGTTCAATTGGGTCTCAATTTCTTTCTTCGTCAAAGGCTAGAAAAGGTCATAAGGGTCAACAGGGCTGGCGCCGAAACATGTAACAGCTGAAGGTGGTCCATTGTGGGAATTCTGTCACTGGAAGAGTGTGGATCTGGTAAAACGGGGCTCTTCTTTTTTTCTCTTTCTTTTAGCTTAACCCAGGAGGCAATCCAAACATGATCAACATCAACCGTGATCCTTCCCAAGAACTCCAGCTTTCGTTCCTCCACCCGACACCATCTCGTATTTCCGCCCACGCCGGTCCTGCCACCGTCAGTCTTTCCTTGATACCTATGCCGTCTTCTTATGCACCACCCTGTTCCGAGTTCTTGTCGCCAAAATATTCTCCCTAAACAGCCACGCCATTCCGAGCGATGCACCCGGTCCAACAACGGGCACACCAGCCAGCATCAAACCAACCACCCTCAACCACCCTTCCTCCAACATGCCCGCGGTCTTCAAGTCCCAGAACTGGTAAGCCATCCACAGCAAATGCGAACCAAAAGCAAACACTCCGTCCCAGCGCATGAACTGAACAAGAAAGTCCTGGAAGGTCAGAGTGCCGGCGTTGAATGCCCTCGGCGGAATATCAGTGGGAATAAAGTTCTCAATAATGCCAGCCCCAAGCCAGGTGTTGGAAATCCACCAGGCTGCACCCAACAAGCTGCTTGCACCGATGTAGAACTTGACGACGGGAAGGTCCTTCTCCGTGTTCGTCAAGCTGTCGTTTGAATTGTCTTTGAAGAACCTTGACAAGATGAACAGGGTGACGGACAAGTAAACCGGGTACAGCTGCCAGATAAACAGCAAGTGCTGCCGAGTCTCCAAATCAGGCGACAGGATGAATCCATAAAATGGCAGAAGAAACGCGACCAGAATGGCGGGGAGAGAAGCAAAGCTCCACCGGGTGCGGGTGAGCCGTTGATCCCGCGCAGCGTACTTCTCCATTGGAGAAAAAACGTATTGCAAAAAGCACCAGAGCGGTGAGAGAACGCCAATACCCAAAAGCTGACCGATCAAAGTGAAGAGATTGGGACTTTGCACGGACAATCAAGTTAGCAACGCTTCCGCCTAAAAAACCAAACTTGAGAAAGAGAAAACAAACTTACAATTGCAAAATATTAAACCCGTTATTATTAGCCCTCCTCGCAGACTCAAAAGTCCAAATCAGCAGCAGATTCGTCCCCTCCGTGATAAAAGTCAACATCTGCCTCCGACACTGCGGCGACAGTCCGTACATCCCCGGAACGAAAAACATGTTGACCTCCGCCACGAAGTCGTCGAACCCCTCAAACCCATAAAACTTCCTGACAACATTGACTTCCGCTCCTCCATTGGCACCACCCAAAACCAGCTTCCCACCGTCCCTCATCGCTTTGGCTGCCTTCAAGACGGGCCTGACGTCCATCACGTGAAAGGCCGTAACGGCCAGACCCAACAGAGGCAAGGCCAACACCGCCCGCCACAGTATACTTTCCTTTTTGGTGACGGCCATCGTCGTCGGATATATTTCGAATTGGCGTCCAAAAAAGAAGAAGAAAAAAAGCCTACCTCCTCTCCGAGAGTCTATTTCCTGAAGCAGTTCTAGAAGGGTAAGACGAAATACCGAGCCGCAACGACGTCGGAAATGAACCAGTCAAATGCAAAATAATAACAAGAGCGAGCGAGTATCACGAGTAGAAATGTATGTGTCTCGATCACAATATCAAGAAAGAAGGGAAAAATAAACTTTTGACGGCAGCCTCTATCGTCCGCGGGCCGCGTGTGGGGGGTTCTCATCTTATTTAATCACAGGCGTGTGCTCCGTTATCACTCTTGCGAAATGTCGGAGTTCGGATTTGGTGGGGCGCCAGATGGAGAATTTTTGCCAACGTTGGTTCAGCAGGGACGACCTCATTGGTCAGAGCTGCAGCGGGTTTCGTTTGCGTTGTCTGGACTCTGAACGTTACCCGCACGTCCAAGCCGAGGTCTGTTGACGCCGTCTCAGGTTGATGGAGACGAAACCCAGAGTGATAACGAGGAACGGGGTTAACGTCAGATCAATGGAATACAATTGCAAAGAGATGAGTAAATTCAAAAGAAGACTTTTGTTCCCAGCCCCCAAGTCCATCTGATCACGTCACCAGACGCAATTACCTTCTTGTCCCTTCCAACGCATCCAACGGCACCTTCACAGCCTCACAGACCTCTTTCTGCCCGTAATCCCCAAAACCAGTCATCCCGACGCCTCCCCACTGCAAGACCCTCATCCTCGGAGCCTTCCAATCGACGGCCGCCCACTTTCCAACCCTCTTCGCTTCCTTCTTGGTCTCTAACAAACCTCTCACTTCCATATACTTTATCTCGGGGTCCGGCTTTCCTGTTCTGGCAAAGCTTGCCCAATAGTCCACCACCAACCTTTGGAACTTGGTGTCATTCCCGTCTCTGTCCGGCAGCCCAGCACGGGCGACAGACCCAAAGACCACCATCTGCTCTCCCGCGTGGCACTTGTAGTACTCCAAGTTTGGATCGCCGTTGGGGTACTTGGCTGTCTTGGGCGGAATGCACCACGGCCGAGTGTACCCATTGGTTTGGTAGGTTCGATTGAACGAGAAGTAGTACACCTCCTTGAACGTGCCGTGGCGGGAGGCTGAGTAGGCTTTTGCCAGAGAGGGACAGGTAAATACGAGTGAGCTGAGTAACGACATGGAGGAATTGAAGATGGCGTCAGTAGAAGCTTGGGAAGTGACCGCTGGGGGAAGATTCAGGATTGACGAGGTGTTCTGGGGAAGGCCAAAGTGTTTCGAAGCGAGACCGTTGAAGTAGGCGGCGAAGGTTGTTGTCGCATTTGTGGGTGGTGCATCGTCGATGAGAACGCCAGCTTCGTCCCGGGTGATGCCAAGCATTACGGACACATTTGATGACAGCGAGAGGGGTGGAGATGCAACTGGAAGAACTGAGGTGGTAAGGTATGTACCGTCTTGTACGACGCCACTGGAACAATGAATGTCAGTGATTCGTTCGTATGCATGAGGTGGACGTGGCATTATGTACTCACTTTGCGTTGGTGTTGAGGTTGACCAGCTCAAACCCAGAGAATTTCCCAAGACATGAAATCTTGTCAGTTGCATTGAGACACCCTGCATCCTTCAGGACTTTGGTGGTTGTGGTTGCATAGTTGTTGGAAACTGAATCGTAAAAGGGAGCCGCCGATAGCTTTCCTTCGCTTGGATACCCATCGGGGCTGGACTGCAAAATAGCTCGGTGAAATAAGCCCTTTGCCTTGGGAGAACTTAGAACAATGTGCGTTCCCACGGCGCCAGCTGACTCTCCAAACAGAGTGACACGATTGGGGTCACCGCCAAAGAACTTGATGTACTTTTGCACCCACTCGAGAGCGGTCACCATGTCAGACACACCGTAGTTACCAATGTGGATACCGTCGTTGAGATTCAAGAATCCAAGCGTCCCGACTCGATAGTTGACTGATACAACCACCACGTCCCCTCGTGAGGCGAGATTGGTCCCGTCCGTGTTGGGATTCTTGCCAGAGCCAGATGTCAACCCTCCACCATACAGATACAGCATTACAGGTTTCAGCTGCTCCTTCTTGTCCTGGTCGGCCATGCGTGGCAAGTATGGGGTCCAGACGTTGGCAAACAGACAATCCTCGCTGCTGCCATTTTTGACCTCGCCGATTGGCTGGGAACAGTCAGCTCCAGCGTTTGTCGCATCGATCTCGCCGGAATCTTCATAGCTTGCAATTTTCGAATGTGCAAACCGTTTTGGCTTGTCGGCATATCGGAGGCCGCGAAACTTCCAGACGTGGTAGTCGCGGTATCCCGTTACCAGCTTGTTTCCAATGAACTGCTGCACCTGAAAACCGGGAGAGTTGTCGTTAATCTTGTGGGAGGACACGGCAGCACTTTGAGTGCAAAGTGTGGGCAGTTCGCTCGAACAGTCGACATTTTGAACCTTGCCGGTGGCATCAATGGCACGACACCCATCGTCGTTCGGGGTGCGCTTGGCAATCCAGTACAGCTGTTCTTGCGGGACAAGGCCCAGGTATGCTTGGTATGGCAAGGACTTGCTCAGGGTGGTCTTGAAATTTGAATTATTGGGGTTCCAGGGCTCCTCGCCCAGCAGCTGGCAGCTGATCTTGCTGGCATAGTTGGGACAGGGTTGGTTGATAAGGAGGGCAGCTGACTTATCGTTCTCGGCGCCTGAGATCAAGTCAGAACATTGTTGGCTCAAAGGTTTAGAAGTTGCCAACGGACTTACCATCAAGATTATTGGCGGTCAAAATTGTCAGTCCCCCGCCGATAAAGAGCCCTTGTGCCGTCCGCGCAGTAAAGAGAGCGAGGGAAGCGGTCCGGGCAAGGAACCTCCAAGAGCATACTGTGTTAGACTTCATGGCGGCGGTGATGGCATTCTGCAAGGTCCTGACAAGACAATGCGAGACATGGCGACGAGCGTGTCTGACAAGGCGGATATATCTTCCATCACCCCTGACTGGCGGTAGTTGGTTCCGTGTTCCCGACAGACGGACACCGTAGGCGAGGGCGGGAAAGAAGCGAGTAATCTGGGGATATTGGAGATATATTAGCCGACATGCTTTTGCCAATCAGACAGCCGCGGAGGTTGCAACCGGGCTTCGGAGTCGCAGACGTTTTTGGTTGTGGTCCGAATCCCTGGTTGTTTGGAATGAAAATTTTAAGCTTTTCAGGTCGGTCTCTGCATTGGAAAATTTTTATCGGCCAATTGAGACTCAAAGAACCCAGAGAGCTTTTGGGCCATGCCGAGGGCAGTTGCTCCTTCTAGTTCATTGGTTCCCCTCACTGAGGTTGCCCCGGATAATGTCCATCTTCCAACCCCCAACGAATTCCAGACCGAAAAAAAG